ATCTAGCCTGGCCCAGAGGAGGAGTTATGTACTGTATAAATTGTGTGTTTCTCAGTAAATCAGATTTGTTCTGTAACGGCACCCCCAGGTTGTTACCACCCACAGGGTTTTGGAAAACAACCAATAAACACGTACAATACACTCAGACACTCCCTCACAAAATCCTCCCCTCTGCCTGTGATACAATTACCTTACACAATGGGTAATGTAATTATCACAGACAGAGAAATACAGTTTTTCCACATTATTCATAACTTGAAAAGTATGCATCACATTCACATAAAACTTACATTTTCAGAATCAGCATACTCCAAATACAAACACACGTCAAAATCATACAAATTGGTCCAGTGGTTCAAAAGATAGATTGTAGTCCTTTGTGACCAAAGGAAGCATGGCTTTTCTGCCCAAAACCAGTTCCACAGAGTCTTCTATCCTGGAGATAATTGGGAAGTAATCAAATTATCTCCAAGGACAGAGGCAAAACTCCATTAAGCAGATGGCAGTAAAAAGAGAGTAAAATACAATAAAATACACAAGGTTACATTTATTACATAAAATACAAACATGCAACATATCCCCAGATAGCTCAGATCTGAACACACATTATTACTGAATGGCGCTCAGATCACACACATACAGTTCAATTGCCATGGAGCCAAAGTCTTTCCCATAGTCTTTCATTATACAAATGGGCTCCATGGCATAGCTATCTGGGGTATCACTGCTCAAACAGGGCCAGCACCGAATGACCCGGCTTTCATGTTTTTGCAGGGGAAAATCAAGCGTTTCAACATGGGGCCATAGTCTAAAGGCAACCAGGCTCCTCCAATTCACAGTGGCGAGATTGGTCTCGTCACATGTTCCAACATTAAGCCTTGGCTCATGTGTGGATTATTTGGCGATACCAGTGATTTATTACTCTGTGGATAACATGGTGATTTTATTTTATGGGAAGAAGGGAATGCTTGATGGAGTAAATGATTGTACTGTCACACTCAACTCTAGTGGTCAAGTTTCACGTCTCTACCTCCCCTACTCTAAAGGGTTAACATTAGGTTACCTGTTATGACGTGCCCACCGAGCGAGGAAAAGATCGGCTGGTGGTAAGCATTGGAAGGAAAAGGAATTTATGCCGAGAGGGGAGGTGAGTCAGTATATTGGCAAGGACGGTAGGTGTGACAGACCCATCCGTATGGACTAAAAGTACTGTGTTCGTCTGTTTTGCCGTTTGCATGAATTTCCCCATTCGTATGCCTTAGTTAAGGGAATGTATTTTTTGTCGAACGGAACTACCGAACGGACGGCCACCCAGAAGAGAAGTGTGCTGCTGCATAACCTATTGATCCCAATTAGAACGTTGCGGTTAACCACAGACACTTCTCAATTAAAACCGAATACCGGGTGGTAGCCGTTCGTATGTCGACCACGAGGCGGCGGCCATTTTGACTATGCGAAAGCCCAGCGGTGTTCAACGATTATTTCATGGAACTCAAAACGGACACTTTTTCAACCGAACACCGCTGAAGCCGTCGACCTCCCCTTCTCAATCGACAAAAGCATACGAATGCCGGCCGTTCTGGAGATTCAACAACACGAATGGACTTAACCCTGATAGCCTTCCCATGGAGTCAATCGCATACCGAAGAGCTGTAATAGACTTTGACTCCATGGCGATTGAACTATGCGTATGGGATCTGAGTGCTATTCGCCAATAATATGCACTCAGATCCAGGCTATCTGGGGATGTGTTATATGAATGCAATACGTTCGGCAGTTATAAAGTTATGGATTTTAATGTCGCCGCCATCTGACGAGCTGAGGCATATATTTTGTCGCCATTTATCTATTACCCTTCTATATTATTGTGTATCTTCTTTTCGTTTTGATGTCTCTACTAGATTCATTATATTTCTCTGGATCTGCTTCTCATCTGTTGCAGTATTAACTGCTTTATTTCATTCAATCTTTGGATCGATTATTTTTTATGTCTCTTGTTTATATTAGGATTGGAGACATTTAGTCATTGAAATGTTACAATGTTTCATTTATCTTACACACATCTCTTTCAGTTAGAGCTACATTCATTACTATTGACATATCAACAGTAACTTTACCAGTCCGATAGCTTGTTCTTATCAGCTAGTCATTCAGTAATCGCAGACATTTTAGTCAGTACGTATCTTTATAGATAGTTATCTGCTATTCGTTAACAGGGCTACTTGTTGCGATTTACATCTTACCAACTAGCTGCATACTAGCTTATACTTTCACTTTCATCAGTTTCCCCCCCCACCCCCCCCTGTTTCTGCGCCCCTTTTTTTCCTCACACCGCACAGACGTGTGCAGTGTGTCGTACTGACTAGATATTGATCTTAGACATCAATTATTCACTTTAAATAATATTGGGTATGAATTTGGTTGTTTTTATTTTTTATTTCTGTTTCATTCTTTACACTTATCCATTTTTTATTAGGTAATTTCAATAAAGTTATTTGTTTATTTTTCAATTTTATTTCATTTTTTTCTGTGATCACATTGTGCATTATTTGCACATTTTTCACGTAGAGATAGCTCTCCTTTTCTGTGTTTTGTTAGGTACTCTCTTCATTCTTTTTGCTTAGTATTTCTACTAGGGGTTATCCCCCTTTTTCGAGTGTACCTTGGCTGTATTCTAATAGTTTCAATGGATTTTAATGTGTTTTATAACTTTGAGTTAAAATGGCGATTTGCCTCTGCTCGGGGAGATAATTGAATTACTTCCCAATTATCTCCCGAGCAGAGGGGAGGAAACTCTGATGCATGCTGGGAATATTGGGGGGTTGTATGTCTGAAATGTCCCTATGTCCTTCTGTTATTCCAGTCTCCCATTTGGTCCCCTAGGGGAGTGTCCACCAAGTGGGAGACCTGCATAAATACGGGCAGGTAGCCCACAGTAAAGTCAGTTCGTGTTTTACCCTCAAAGCGGAGCTTGGTCTCGTTATTGGGGGGATTTTATTACGCGCCTAGAGACTGCTTATTGGGATTATCTGCCGCTCGGAAACTATTGCCGTTCGGCTGTTCATGGCGATTCGTGCATTTGGAGCTCGAGAAGGGAAAGAGCCGTACAGGTACCGTTCAGGAGTTTGGAGTGTTCCCTATCTGGCGGTTCGCATGGTTACACTGCATACGCTACCAGACCACATTATTGCGAACGGGGAGCATTCACTGAACGGCGGTTTGTACATTTATTACTGGAGGTACCGTAACAGTAGGGTTATACTGTATGACACTATGATTATTTATGTTTGACGTTTAGTTTATATCAAGTAAAGCTAAAGATTAAAATTAATTATGGATGTGTTATACAGTATTTATCATATGATATAATAAACACTGTGGCCTGTTTCATCCAAACTATGTTGCCTGTCATTATTGGTTAGTAATCTGGTATGTTTTATGTTGGTATGCTGCATCACGATTCCCCACTACCTACATAGAGGTCACTGAATAAACTATGTACAATCAAACTCACCATGAATCCCCACTCACCTTCTCCCAGACATTTTACTGAATAACCCATTTACACTCACACTCACTAATAATCTCCACTCACCTTCCCCCAGACATGTCACTGAATAAACCATTTATACTCACGCTCACTAAGAATCCCCACTCACCTTTCCCCAGACATGTCACTGAATGAACCTTTTATACTCACACTCATTAATAATCCCCACTCACCTTCCCCCAGACATGTCGCTGAATGAACTCACTAATAATCCCCCACTCACCTTCCCCAGTACATGTCACTGAATAAACCATTTTCACGCACACTCAATAATCTCCCCTCCCTTTCCCCCAGACATGTCGCTGAATTAACCTTTTATACTCACTCTAATAATCCCCACTCACCTTCTGCCAGATATGTCACTGAATAAACCATTTACACTCACACTCACTCAACATTCCCACTCACCTCCCTGCTGACATGTCGCTGAATAAAACATTTATACTCACACTCTCTTTGAATTCCCACTCACCTTCCCCCAAACATGTTGCTGAATAAACCATTTACACTCACACTCACTCAACATTTCCACTCACCTCCCTGCCGACATGTCGCTGAATAAACCATTTATACTCACACTCTCTATGAATTCCCCCTCACCTTCCCCGAGACATGTCATTAAATAACCCATTTATACTCACACTCACTAATAATCCCCCACTCACTTTCCCCCAGACATGTCACTGAATAAACCATTTACACTCACACTCATTAATAATCTCCACTCACCTTCCCCCAGACATGTTGCTGAATGAAATTTTTATACTCACACTCATTAATAATCCCCACTCACGTTCCGACAGGCATGTCACTGAATAAACCTTTTATACTCACACTCATTAATAATCTCAACTCACCTTCCCCCAGACATGTCACTGAATAAACCATTTACACTCACACTCACTCAACATTCCCACTCACCTCCCTGCCGACATGTCGCTGAGTAAACCATTTATACTCACACTCACTATGAATTCCCACTCACCTTCCCCCAGACTTGTCACTAAATAACCCATTTATACTCACACTCACTAATTATCCCCCACGCAGTTTCCCCCAGACATGTCACTGAATAAACCATTTACACTCACACTCATTAATGATCTCCACTCACCTTCCCCAGACATGTTGCTGAATAAACCTTTTATACTCACTCACTGTGAATCCCCACTCACCTTCCGCCAGACTTGTTGCTGAATAAACCATTTACACTCACACATTAATAATCCCCACTCACCTTCCACCAGACATGTCACTGAATAAACAATTTACACTCAATCTAATAATCCCCACTCACCTTCTGCCAGACATGTCGCTGAATGAACCTTTTATACTCACACTCAATAATCCCCCCACACAGTTTCCCCCAGACATGTCACTGAAAAAAACCATGTACACTCATTAATAATGTACACTCACCTACCCCCAGACATGTCACTACACAGTAGAAGTTGCATTTTGAGAAGTTTTATTGCATTAGCATAATTAAATCAGAGGACATGTCACAATATGTTCAGTTAGTTAAGATAATTCAGTTCCTCCTGGAATCTCTTCCTGGATCTGTCCAGTCATGGGCCGAAATCTTCTCTTCATTGGTCTTCTTCTAGACATGTCCCAGGTATGGTCTCCCCGTGAAAATGTGACAGACTGGTAATCTGGTCCCATGCTAGAAGAAAGGGGTGAAAAGCTTATTTGGGGTGTTTGTGAATATCTGGGGTGGTCGGATCAGCTGCTGGGACAATTTTCAAGCTTATTGATTACACAGTCCTCAGGCTTTAAGCAGGTAGCGTAATGGCAGACTGCGATTCATCACTCAGCAGGTTACTTGTATTCAGTTTGGTGTTTCATACACCAAGTATGGTTTGAGAGATCTCACTTTACCGCTGAGTCCTGGAATAGTTTCGTCATCCACCTTATCACCAGTGATACTAACTATCGAGCTACCTTGATATTGCTCTCCATCATAAAGGATCCATACTCCCTTCTCCACTTTGTGAGAACAAACTCCACTGATTCCAAAGCTGTCGAGTGAGGATGCTACATTGGAGATTATACGCTGGACCCCACTCTGGTTGGGTCGCTCATGCACAATAATCTTTGGTTGCTGTAGGCCACTAGTTACTACCCTCAGGGAACTGATCACGTTGCTGAAGTTTGGCAACTTGTGGTAACTCCCTTCCTTGAAGACTTTGAAATCTCCCTGATAATTTGTATTAGAAAATACAACCCAGGGTTCACCATGGACTTTCAGGGATTGTGTTCTTTTCAAGAATCCCGTGGACGTCAGGTCAGGGTTATCAGCTTCGATAGACACAGAGTCTCCTGTCAGCTCCAAGTCATCGTACAGTTCAATCTTGCTCATTTTTAACTTGTTTGTTTTTTTCGCAGGTCTGAAGAGTTTCTCTTTTGATAATTAGTCAGCAACTGATCTTGTGTATACAGAGGGCTCTAATTTATATGATTTTAACCTTGTGAACTTGTTAGATATGTGTGCAATAAATTCATTTCTTCAGAATAAAGAGACCATCACTTCTGAAGAATATGTTGGCTCAGAATACTTGTGCAATGAAGAAGCAGATGTCTCAGAGATAAGACATCTTATAATTCACATTGTGTCACTGTGACTGCTTAGATCAGGCTTCCCCACACTCCGGCCCTCCAGATGATGCTGAACTACAACTCCCATGATTCTCAGCCTATCTATTTCATTTATAGAATCATGGGAGTTGTAGTTCAGCAACATCTGGAGTACTGGAATTTGGGGAAACCTAGCTTAGATCATTCGGTAAAGAGCTGTAATCTGAAAAAAGGATATTTGCTGATAGACTGTGAACATATGATATAGCAACATAAATAATCATGTGTCTAAACTCCCTGATCCATTATGCAAATTAGATTTTTCCCATTTAACTAAATAATTTATATAAATAACAGTCAGCATAATTCTCATGTTATCAACTATTAAGAGTACAATTCAAATTTTATTGAACAAACCTCCTAATGATAACAGTATTGTTTTAAACATAAAAATCTTACAAAGCACTGTTCCAAATTATTACGCACAGTAAGTTTCAAAACACTTTATATGTTGTGTTACGGTACCTCCAGTAATAAATGCACAAACCGCCGTTTAGTGAATGCTCCCCGTTCGCAATAATGTGGTCTGGTAGCGTATGCAGTGTAACCATGTGAACCGCCAGCTAGGGAACACTCCAAACTCCTGAACGGTACCTGTATGGCTCCTTCCCTTCACGAGCTCCAAATACACGAACTGCCAATATTAGCCGAACGCCAATATCTCCCAAGCGGCAAATAATTCCAATGAGCAGTCTCTAGTTGCCGGTAATAAAATCCCCCCAATAACGAGACCAAGCTCCGCTTTGAGGGTAAAACACGAACTGAGTTTACTGTGGGCTACCTGCCCGTATTTATGCAGGTCTCCCACTTGGTGGACACTCCCCTAGGGGACCAAATGGGAGACTGTAATAGCAGAAGGACATGGGGACATTTCAGACATACAACCCCACAATATTCCCAGCATGCATCACAGTTTCCTAACCTCTGCTCGGGAGATAATTGAGAAGTAATTCAATTATCTCCCAGAGCAGAGGCAAATCGCCATTTTAAATATAAGTCACAAAACACATTAAAATGCATAACTTTATAACTGCTGAACGTATTACATTCGTATAACACATCCCCAGATAGCCTGGATTTGAGTGCATATTATTGGCGAATAGCGCTCAGATCCCATACGCACAGTTCAATCGCCATGGAGTCAAAGTCTATTATGGTCCTTCGGTATGCGATTGACTTCATGGGAAGGCTATCTGGGGTAAGTCCATTCGTGCCTTTACAACTCTCGAACGGCCGGTGTTCGCATACTTCTGTCGATTGAGAAGGGAGGTCGATGGCTTCAGCGGTGTTCGGTTGAAAAAATGTCCGTTTTTAGTTCCATGAAATAACCGTCGAACACCGCTGGCCTTTCGCATGGTTAAAATGGCCGCCGCCTCGTGGTCGACATACGAACGACGACCACCCTGTATTCGGTTTTAATTGAGAAGTGTCTGTGGTTAACTGGAACGTTCTAATTGGGATCAATAGGTTAACCAGCAGCACACTTCTCTTCTGGGTGGCCGTCCGTTCGGTAGTTCCGTTCGACAAAAAAATACATTCCCTTAAACAAGGCATACGAATGGGGAAATTCATACCAACGGCAAAACAGACGAACACAGTAATTCTAGTTCATACGGATGGGTCTGTCACAGGTTGTAAAGAACTGAAAATTGTCATTTGTTGTGTTTGCAGCATATTTAGTGATATCAAAAGCTATTTCAATCAAACTTATAACAACATTTTAACTTTTTAAACATTTTAACATAGGACCCCTTATTTGATAGCAGCTTCACAAGTCTTGCATCCATTGTGAGTTTTTGGACAGTTTCTGCTTGAATTTGTTTGCAAGATGTCAGAATAGCCTCCCAGAGCTGCTGTTTAGGCCTCAGGGAGAGTGCGCAGCTTAGCACATGTATGAGTGTGGACAGGGGCACATATATGAGTGTGGGATGGATGATGCATGATTGGCTATATGCTACATGTATGAGTGTGGGATGGATGGTGCATGATTGGCTATATTCTACATGTATGAGTGTGGGATGGATGGTGCTACATATTCTACATGTATGAGTGTGGGATGGATGGTGCATGATTGGCTATATTCTACATGTATGAGTGTGGGATGCATGATGCATGATTGGCTATATTCTACATGTATGAGTGTGGGATGGATGGTGCATGATTGGCTATATGCTACATGTATGAGTATGGGATGGATGATGCATGATTGGCTATATTCTACATGTATGAGTGTGGGATGGATGATGCATGATTGGCTATATGCTACATGTATGAGTGTGGGATGGATGATGCATGATTGGCTATATGCTACATGTATGAGTGTGGGATGGATGGTGCATGATTGGCTATATTCTACATGTATGAGTGTGGGATGGATGATGCATGATTGGCTATATTCTACATGTATGAGTGTGGGATGGATGATGCATGATTGGCTATATTCTACATGTATGAGTGTGGGATGGATGGTGCATGATTGGCTATATTCTACATGTATGAGTGTGGGATGGATGGTGCATGATTGGCTATATTCTACATGTATGAGTGTGGGATGGATGATGCATGATTGGCTATATTCTACATGTATGAGTGTGGGATGGATGGTGCATGATTGGCTATATGCTACATGTATGAGTGTGGGATGGATGGTGCATGATTGGCTATATGCTACATGTATGAGTGTGGGATGGATGGTGCATGATTGGCTATATTCTACATATGAGTGTGGGATGATGATGCATGATTGGCTATATGGTATGGTGGGATGGATGGTGCATGATTGGCTATATTCTACATGTATGAGTGTGGGATGGATGGTGCATGATTGGCTATATTCTACATGTATGAGTGTGGGATGGATGATGCATGATTGGCTATATTCTACATGTATGAGTGTGGGATGGATGATGCATGTATGAGTGTGGGATGGATGGTGCATGATTGGCTATATGCTACATGTATGAGTGTGGGATGGATGATGCATGATTGGCTATATGCTACATGTATGAGTGTGGGATGGATGATGCATGATTGGCTATATGCTACATGTATGAGTGTGGGATGGATGATGCATGATTGGCTATATGCTACATGTATGAGTGTGGGATGGATGGTGCATGATTGGCTATATGCTACATGTATGAGTGTGGGATGGATGATGCATGATTGGCTATATTCTACATGTATGAGTGTGGGATGGATGATGCATGATTGGCTATATGCTACATGTATGAGTGTGGGATGGATGATGCATGATTGGCTATATTCTACATGTATGAGTGTGGGATGGATGATGCATGATTGGCTATATTCTACATGTATGAGTGTGGGATGGATGATGCATGATTGGCCATATGCTACATGTATGAGTGTGGGATGGATGATGCATGATTGGCCATATGCTACATGTATAAGTGTGGGATGGATGATGCATGGTTGGCCATATGCTACATGTATGAGTGTGGGATGGATGGTGCATGATTGGCTATATTCTACATGTATGAGTGTGGGATGGATGGTGCATGATTGGCTACATGCTACATGTGGGAGTGTGAGATGTGAGGAAGTGGGTGGTGGCCGATCAGACTGACCTCAGTGCCACTTAGGAGCCGGGCCAGCAACAAGTTTCTCTGCCTCCTCCTGTTTATTAATGACACGGAGGCTCCTATTATGCTATCTCTTTCTTACTTTATTCCTCAGCAGCAAAGAGAAAATATAACTGAAAGAGAAAAAAATGCAAAATATGAATAATATTATAACAGATACAACCAGATCTGCCTAGTAACAGCAGCTTGTAAGAACAGTCCATAAATGCCTTGCCTAGTACTTCCACCTCCTCTTTCTTTGCTGCTGTCCTCAGACCAGCTAAGTATAATTTTACCTCCTGTATATTGATCTGTATTAAGGCTGTCAGGGTTGTTTACCCTGATTACATTTACTACTGATGTTCTGTTTATGCTTATAGTCACTTGCATTGTGGATTGTTATTTGTATTTGGTCTTTTTTGTTTTTTCTTCCCCTGTGCCTTTTGCCCGGTTTCCCTGCATGTGCTGTACTTTTGGCAGCACAGGCTGGGATCCGCGGCTCTCAGGGGAAGTTTTGTCTCCTGGAGCTTCTTGCTCCCTGTCCTCCCTCCTTTTCCCTCGCGGTCGCGTTATCTGCCGGCCCGATCAGTCTCCTGTGTACCACGCGCTCTCCGGCCATTGGTGGGGAAGGAGCTCCGGGTACCAGCTGCACGCTCTGCACACGGCGGCTATCTTTGTCTATAAGCACGCGCGTGGCTGGGACTGCTCAGCGGGTCGGCTCTCCATTTGCTCTATTGCTGTTGCAGGTGTTTCAGTGGGTTACTCAACCCCTCCTAGGTTATTACGTTAGGTGTGTTCCCCCCTTTTTCTCTTCTACTATTTATTTTGCGTTACTTCCTCCCTGTGGGGATTTTTTTATAGTGTATAAATTTTGATTTTTATTGATTTTGGGTTCACCCTACCTGAGTCTGACAGCCCCAGTTACCCCATTATGGACCCCATGCAAACCCCTATCACTGGGGAAATTGGCCTCACTCCCTCTCAGGAGTTCAGGCCCTCATTGACTCCACCATGCAGAGGGCCCTTGCTTCAGCCGTGGGGTCGGTGTCTCACACCATTCAGCAGGCGTTGACTCAACCACTGGCCCCTTCTGTGATGCCCAATCCACAGCCTGCGCTGCAGCCTCAGCCAGGCCGCAAGGCGCATGCTAAAAAGAAACACGTCTCCCCTGATGTGACACAGGTGTTACCTGCCCTGACTGATGTGCCTATGGCCGTCCAAGGTGGCGCACTACCGTACAAGAGAGCCGCTGGCCGGGCAAAATCGGCCAGAAAGTGGAAAAGGGCGCGTGCCCATGTTGATGAAGGATCTGACTCAGATCTGAGTGGGGAGTCGTGCTCGGACGCCCCTGATTACGCCTCTTACGAGGAAGGGATCTCTGACGCTGAGGCGGGGTCTGACGCTGAGGCGCTACCTCCGGGTGAGATACCCCCTGTTCGATCATGATGACCTTCACCATCCCCGCTCGGCGGAATGGGACCCGCCCAAGCATATAGCTAACTACCTAGCCCTACGTATGCGCACTCCTCTGTAAATTATGGGCTGAATGCCCAAGGCCCTCATTGCCTGATGCGGCGTGCAAGACGCCAGAGGTCGACCCTCAAATTACACAGTTTGGACACTGCCAAGTGGGGCCCACTGCCAAGCTTTATGAACTCTTAGAGCCAGCCAAGGTAGGGGACACCCCCCTGGATTTCGATGAAGCGATCAGATGGGTCCAAAGACTGATTTGCCTTCTTGGCAACGCTAACACGGCCATGTCAGCTGAACGCCGCAAGGCAATCTTGCTCAAGATTGAGCCAAAATTGGTAAATCTAGCGGTGAAAGAACCGGGTGCTGCCGCCAAGGGTATGCTCTTCGGTGAGTCCTTTGTTAAGGACCTGGGCTCCTTTGTGCCCTTCGCCGCCCTGGATAAAGCCCAGTCCAACTTGAAATGGTTTTTTGGCCCAAAGGTTTTCCAACGAGCCGCCTGCCCAGCCGTGGAGCTCGAGGCCCCTCATGGACTCACAGGCCCCTCATGGACCCCTCAAGGACCCATCCTTTGCTGCCCCTCGGGCCTACCAGGAATACAAACCCTTCTTTCCCTCATGCAGGAGACCATGGCAGAATCGAGGAGGACATGGTCAACCCTCATACAGATGCCCTTACGGTAAGTACCCCCAAATGTACTTTTTCCCGTTCAAGTGTGGGTGGCAGACTGGCATTGTTTATTGATATGTGGGGCATGATCACCACAGATGTGTGGGTTTTGAATACGGTCAGGGGTTTCCGCCTAGATCTGTTGTCTCCCCCTGTCCAGGTATGTACACCACAGGAACTGAGATTACCGGAAGAGCAGTCCGAGCTGATTACCAAGGAGATCGCAGAACTTCTTCCCAAACGGGCAATACAGGTCCCGTACGACCATCCGGGGTTTCTAAGCAACTTGTTCCTCGTTGCCAAGAGGGGCGGAGGAGTTCGACCGGTTATAAATCTCAAACGCCTCAACGAATTTCTCCGCTACCATCACTTCAAGATGGAAGGCATTCATTGTCTCAGAGATCTGCTTTGGCAAGGGGACTGGATGGTCAAGCTGGACCTCAAAGATGACTACTTGACTATACCAATGGCAGAGGAACACAGGAACTTATTGCACTTTACGTGGCAAGGACGTTGGTGGAGGTTTACCTGTCTGCCCTTCGGTCTATCTTCAGCTCCCTGGTTCTTCACAAAGGTGATGAAACCAGTAGTGGCGGTCCTCAGGGCTCGGGGAGTCCGCATGATTATTTACCTGGACGACATCCTGATTATGTCCGCGTCCCCCGACCAACTTCTCTGGCATCTGAACTGGACGGTGGATCTTCTGGAAAGCTTAGGTTTCCTCATAAATTGGGAAAAATCCATGGTGGCCCCGATGCAGAAAATAGAATTTCTGGGTTTCGAAGTCGATTCAGTCGCCCAGTTCTTGTTCCTTCCAGAGGCCAAGTTAAAGGCTATGAAGGAAATAAGACGTACGCTATAGACCACCTCTCTCTCCGTACAACAACTGGCGAGAGTGATTGGTCTTTTGGCCTCATCGATTCAGGCGATTTTCCCGTGACCCCTATCTTATCGGGCCCTACAACGTCTGAAGGGATCCCATCTTCGGTCGGGCAGTTCGTACGAAAGCGAATTACGCCTGGACAGAGATTCCAAGGAGGAACTACGGTGGTGGTTGGACCATATGGAGGCATGGAATGGTTGAGCAATCTTCGGTACTGCTCCGGATGTGGTGATAGAATCGGATGCCAGCCTGCATGGTTGGGGAACTCACTGTGGAAATGTCTCCACAGGTGGCAGATGGTCCGAAATCGAATCAAAGCTACACATAAACTGTCTGGAATTGCTGGCGGGATCATTCGCCATTCGCAGTCTGTCTCCAACTCTGGGAAACTGCTGCGTTCTTCTGCGCATGGACAATGTGTCCGCGGTCAGATATATCAATCACCTGGGTGGCACGAAATCAAAACAACTAGCGAACCTGGCAAAGGACTTCTGGCAGTTTTGCCTTCACAGCGCAGTGTTGGTTACAGCCGAACACATTCTGGGCTTGGACAACGAATGGGCGGATTGGAATTCGCGCTACTTGAAAGACTCAGGAGATTGGCACCCGCTGCCTTCAACCTTTCGACAGATAGATCAGTTATGGGGCCCATTACAACTGGATTTGTTCGCGTCCAGACTGAACTCCCAACTACCCCGATACTTCAGTTGGAGACCGAACCCAACGGCCGCGGCAGTGGATGCATTCCTGCAAATATGGCCTCGGGGTCGTCACTTTGCATTTCCCCCATTCAACCTGATCTCTCGGACACTGGCATACTTGGCCAGACAAGTGTGCACGTTGGTGGTAATAGTTCCCATATGGCAGACTGGAGATGGCGATGGATTTCCCACGGATGATCACGATGCGACCGGATGTGCTTCTGGATCCGGATGGGAACTCACACAAATTGGTGGATCAGGACCTACTCCAGCTCACGGCTTGGTTGATTTCGGGGGACACTGGTGTGTCGTGGACGTTCCATAAGCTACTACAAGACTCCTGGAGAGTGTCTGGGCACCGGGTACCAGAACGACTTACAAGTCTGCATGGCATGTGTGGTCTGGCTGGTGCGTGGGAAGACTGTTGGATCCACTTTTCTGACCACACTTTTTGAATCTGGTTTGGCCTACCGCACTATTAATGCTTATAGGTCGGCCATCTCAGCCGGACATCTAGGAATTGACGGATCATCGGTTGGACAACATCCTTTTGTGCGTCGGTTGTTGAAGGGTATCCGTTTTTCTAGGCCTCCGAGATCCAGGTATTCATCGTTTTGGGATGTTAACGTAGTGCTTGGCTTCCTGGAATCGTGGCCCCTTAATGAAGAGCTGTAGCTGAAGCAATTGTCCTGGAAGCTGGTTATGCTCCTGTGTCTCCTTTCATGCATGAGAGTTTCGGATGTCAGAGCTTTAGACTGGAACGCGATATCCTTCACCCCCAAGGGAG